CATGTGAGACTGTGCCCGGCCACGTCAGCTGCGGGACCCTGGAGGGGGCGGGGCAGATGTGGACAGATTATTTATGTTCTCTTAGTGTCAGAAGAGGACTCTTAGCACCCAGGCCCGCCGGTCCTAACTCCGCACCCTGTGTTAGCGCACCCCCTCGGCCCCCGTTCCCGTGCGAGGCCCCGCCTGGCTCTGCCCTGAGACAGGGGGCTGTGTGCGCGTGGTCCCCAGGTGAGCGGGCAGCGGCTTGGTGGCCAGCGTGGCCCCAGAGGGCCCCTGAGGGCAGCCCTGCACAGGGACCTCGTGCCCTTCTCTTAGAAAGATTTTAGAAAACCCCATCAAACCGATCAAGCTGTCCCCCAGGCCAGGTTCAAGGCGTGCTGTCCCCCTCCCCAGGGCCGTGGCCCCCCAGCCTGGCACCTCGCAGTTTACAGAGCCCCTCGCACCCCGGAGCCAGCGAGACCCCAGGCCAGCGCTGAGTGGGGTGTGGGGGGCTGGGAGTCTTCAGGGTGTTTGCCTCACTGGACAGCCAGGGACACTGAGGCCCAGCATGGAGCTGCCAGAGACCCCACGACCTGCGTGGGGTTCCTGCCGTGGCTTGGGTGTCCTGACCCACAGCCCATGGCTCCGGGCCCAGAGGACAAGCTCTGGACACACCCAGGCTGGCGCGAGGCGGCCCCCACGCCTGAGAAATCCGTTGCATCCCTCCCCGCTGCCTCACTGGGCTCTGCACCCCCACAGGTGCCTCTGAGCGTTTGCCCTTGCACCCTGACCCTGTGCTAGGGCCCCACCTGACAGCCTCCCTCCCCCCGCTCCCCGTCCCCGCACCACGCAGGCCCTCCCTTGAAATCCACTCACCCTGAAACCCGGGGGACAGGAACCGGAGGGGGTGGCTCATTCTAATCCACGTGGGGGACGGGAGAGATGAGAAACCGGGGACTCGAGCAGGCGTGCCCTCTACCGACGCTCCCACCTCCCGGGAGACGGAGGCGCAGAGGTGACTGTGGGAAGCTTGGCGCGTGGTGACTGCTGCCCACGCACCCCGCCCCGAACTTAGGGTCTTTTCTCATCGACCCGTGGACATGCGTCCTCAGGCGGCTGACCGGCCACGTGGGCTGGCGTCCACCCCGTGTGCCCCCAAGATGCCAGGACACTCTCTTAGCTGCTGTCCTGGGACCCTCCAGGCCCCCGTGATCTATAGTGTCTTAAATTATTGTGACCTACACTGGGTACGGGGGGGGCTGCCCCCCGAGACAGGCTCCTCCTTCTGCTTGAAACAGACTCTCGGGCCCAGGCGCCCGTGCGCACTGTCCCCGGGCCTCCCCCGCTGTCAGCAGGGCCCTCCGCAGGGAGAGGGGTCAGTGTGGCCCGGGCAGGGGCGGGGAGCCCGGGGG